CCTCAGACAGTCACTGAGGTCAGATCATTCCTAGGAATGTGCGGCTACTATAGGAACTTCGTAAAGAACTATTCTACAGTAGCCTCTCCTTTGCCTGATCTAACTCGACTTGCCACACCGTGGGACTGGAGCGATGAGTGTCAGGGTGCTTTCAAGAGATTGAAGCATGCACTCATGAATCATGAGGTTCTCATGGTTCCCGATCCTCAAAAGCCATTCATAGTGACCACTGACGCAAGCCAATACGGCATTGGCGGAGTGCTGGCACAACAGGATGGGAAAAAGTTGAGACCGATTGAGTATATGAGCAAGAAAATGCCATCAAAGAAGTTGGCAAAGTCCACCTACGAAAGGGAACTTTATGCTCTATACAAAGCACTTGTCAATTGGAGACACTTCCTATTGGGAAGGTTCTTCTACTTGAGGACTGATCATCAGACCCTCAAATGGATCAAAACTCAACCGGCTCTTTCTGACGCCCTCAAGCGATGGATTGAGGTCATAGACCAATATGACTTCAAGCTTGAGTACCTTAAGGGAGAGTATAACAAGGTTGTTGATGCGCTATCACTTAAGAGCAGACTACCTAGGTGCGCTAGTTTCTGACTTTGGCGTATCTGAAGAAGTAACTCAATCATTGGTGGGAGCCTATCAGGAAGATCCTGTCACGATGGACATCATTCGCAAGTTTCCGGCAAAAGACAAGGCCACGGAAAGTGAGTTTGTGATGGTGGACGGGTTACTCTATCTTGATAAGGCAGGAATAAAAAGGTTAGTAGTTCCATCTAGTGAACCTTTGCGTAGTTTATTTTTACGCGAATGTCATGACGCAACTGGGCACTTTGGTTACAAGAAGACGAGTGTTAACTTAGTACAACGATTTTGGTGGCCTGGTATGTTTGATGATGGAAAGTACGTAGAGACCTGTCACGTCTGTCAGCGGGATAAGCCGCTAACTCAAGCACCGCTTGGGTTGTTGAAGCCGTTGCCTATTCCTGCTGGTCCAAGACAGAGTGTTTCCATGGATTTCATGGACACCCTAGTAACTAGCAAGAATGGTAAAAGGCACATCTTCGTCATCATAGACCGATTCACCAGGTACGCTATTCTAGTTGCCATGCCAGAGAGTGCAAGGACTGACCATGTCATCAAGTTGTTTAAGGACAATTGGGTGCGGGACTTTGGTTTGCCAAAGACTATCGTTAGTGATAGAGACGTCCAATTCACAAGTGAGCTATGGAAGAAGACTGCGGAACAAATGGGCATTCAACTTCAGATGACTTCAGGGAATTACCCCGAAGCCAACGGACAAGCCGAACAGATGAATAGAGTTGTACAGCACTTACTATATATATGTGTTGAGGCATTACATCAAGCCCAGCCAAGATGATTGGGATGAGAAGTTGGCACTCATCACCAGTCTGTACAACAATGTTGTGCACAGCAGCACCGGCGTAAGTCCTAACCAGCTACACTTGGGATGGAAGCCTAGATCCGCGTTAGACTTCCTCCTACCTGAAAGCCGACCTGCTGCAACCCCAGGCACACTGGAATATGGTGTGCAGTAAGTTGCTGCAAGAAGTTGTCGAGCACATGAAGAAAGCTCAGCAAGCAATGATTGCTTCTCAAAATCAACATCGTAGACAGTCCACATTTCAGGTAGGGGAACATGTCTGGGTCAAGGCTAGCGAGCTAGGACAGGAATTCGGAATCTCTCGCAAACTAATGCCTCAATACTTCGGTCCTTGGGAAGTCTTAGATATAGTGGGAGATGAGTTGGATGGTCCCACTTATGTCATTCGTGTCCCTGGACACCTACGCACTCACCCAGTTTTTCATGCCTCAAAGCTTGCACCTTTCGCTGAGACTGATCAATTCCCTTCCAGGAGATCGATGCTGCCCCCAACCATGGATGGACAAGTCGACATCGATGACATTGTGGATCACCGGGACATGCCTGTTGCAAAGCCGTTGGATCGAGGGAGACCTAAACCCAAGAGAGAATATAGCGTCAGATTCAGGCATCACACGGATCCCAACGAAGATCGGTGGTTTACCAGGGAGGAACTGATTGAGACAGCTCCTCAGGTGGTGGCAGAATATGAAAGGAAGCTGAAAGGGAAGGCACCTGCGAAGTAAGCATCTCAGCGGACTTTCGAAGCTAAGGGGGATGGAATGTGAGGAATGAGCCCTCAAGAAGGGGCCTTGCCATGATGTACATGTTCTGGGCTAAGGCCCCAGCAAGCCTCGTGCCCGCCCTAAGTGAAGGCAGGCCAGCAAATCAACAAGAGCCCTCTGTGCATACATTTCACGAAGTGGGGTCCATACAGTTGCAGCACGCCAGTTGGTTGGAGTGCACCGAATCTCGAAAAAATAATTTAATTAATTCTAACGTATTTTCAAACTTTTCGGGGAAAAAAATAAAAAATAAAAAATTAAGTGGAAATGTTTTGAAAAAGAAATGTTGAAAAAGAAATGTCAAAGAGTTAGATTAATTATAAAATATTTTTGAATTACAAAATTTTGAAAAAGAATGAATTAAATTTGTTTTCAAATTTCGAAGAAGAAATGCCGAGAAAGAAATGATTACATCCTATGTATTTCGAAAATTTCGAAAAAGAAAACACATTTGAGAAAGAAATGAGTATTTTCGAATGTACAAAAAAAAAGAATATAAAATGGATTCTAGAAATGAATAAAATGAATTTTGATGTAAATCGAGGGCGGAGCGATCCTATCTACTATTGATTGGGTGGTAGCGTGGT